TCTCTCTGTGTGTGTGTGTGTGTGTGTGTGTGTGTGTCTGTCTCTCTCTCTCTCTGTCTCTCTGTGTGTATGTATGTATGTATGTATGTCTCTCTCTCTCTTGTGTGTGTGTGTGTGTGTGTGTGTGTGTCCCAAAATCACTTACTAACATTAAAATTTAAAAGCTTCAGTCCCATCAGGCAAAGGGAGCCAGAAAGACAAACTTTGATTTCCAACCTGATGCCTCCAGTCTTTCTGTGTCTCAGGAGAGGGGGGAAAATCATATATAAATAAAAATTGCTGCAGTAAAGATTTAATCTGAGATAACATTGTTTTAGGCTATATTGCTTTTTAAAAGTCTCTTAACCTGACAACTTAACGATCTCATTAACTCGACCAGATAGGGAGATAGGCGCAGATGCGACAAGGAAAACAAATTAGTGGCACACACACTCCAGACTTCCTGGAAGACAAGGGTTCTTAGGAATTCTAGAGAATCAAAATGGAACTGGCCTGACAAATTGGAGGCTGAAGGGATTCTGGCATTCAGACCTCTCTGTTTAAGTTGATGGGACAAAGAAGTGAGCACAACCTGGAAAAACTGAGCTCTAAACTTGCCTCTGTTGAACTGTTGAAGACTACCCCAACCCCAACCCCAGGCTTGAACTGGCTGTGGACACCTGGGGAAGTAGGACTACAGGAGCCTAAGGTGAGCTACCTACCACTTCTATTGTTGCTATCATTGTTTCAGTCATCTCTCAGGCAAGATACACCCTAACACCCTAACCCAAGATATACTCCTAACACCCTAGAACCACACCCCCCCCTCCCCATTGTTAGAGAGCAAATCCAGGGCCTTGAACATGCTAGAGAAGAGCTCTGCCACTAATCTACTTACAAAACATTAAGCACTTTTCTCACTTACCCACCTTCAGGCTTTTTCAGCAGATCACACCGTTCCCTCTCCCAACATAAATTCATCTAAGTTGGATATTAAGACGGGAAGTTCTCTTATCTAAACAGAATAGACAATACAAATGTCTCCAAACTTTACTGGAGAGAAATAAAAGCTGGGGACCTACTGTTGCGGGTGATGTTTATATTCTTCCCTGACCCTGTCTGACTTGATTGGGCCATAGTAGCCTGCCCTGAAGAGCCAGAAAAGAAAGACTTCAGAAGGAACCCAAGCAATAAAATCAAGGCCAAAAACAAAAGAATATTTTATTTTAAAAACAAGTTTGTGGGTATTTTTTTCTTTGCATTCAATACATTGTCATTCAGACGTCACAATACTATATACAGATACACAACATTTAAAAAAAAAAAAGAGCCTATTTTGGATGGGCATTTCAAAAGAACACTGTTTTGTAATGAGCCAGTGGGAAGGGAAGAGGTGAGGGGGCCCCCACAGCACCAAGGTGGCTTTTGAGGAGGGAGAAATTAGGCAGCGTCTATATTTAGCTGGTTTATCCAGGACCAATGATTTCACCCCTCCTTGATCAGCTCCTCAAGCTTCACTTAGGGAATCAGTGAAAAAATGAAAGTGTGTGGTCTTTCCTCTCCACTATCTGCTATTGCTTATGTACAGATATGACTGAAGATCTTCTGAGGGACCCACCATCTATCTCCTTTAAAGAAGTTTATACAAAGTTCTGATTCTAAGCCTGGCCTAATTCCCAACCTCACCATGAGAGAGAAAGAGACAGAAGCCACACTTAGCATTGTGGCTGGAGTTTTTTGTTTGTTTGTTTTTGTTTTTTTTTTGTCCTCCTTGGATTTTCACAGGACCAAGAGTGCAAAGCAGAGGAGGCAGTGGAGTCAAAGGCACCTCCCGGAAATCATTTCTGGGTTAGGATGTGGCTACTTACTGCACTAACTCCAGCTTTTGTTGAGACAGACAGAAAAAAAAGAAAGAGAGAAAAAGAAAAGAAAATCAAATCTACAAGCTCCAAGAATGGTTCAGTTTGAATTATATTACGCTGCCAGGCCCTAAGGATTAGCATCAATATTAACACGACTTTTAAAAGATGCACAGAAAAATCGTAACTGGGAATCGAAACCTTGCCTACGAGTTCAGGAATGACAGTAAAAAGGGGGAACAGGAAAGAAAGAGCTCCCCAGATCCTGTGCCCATGCACCCCGGAAGGAGGGTCTTCCACAAGCTGAGGCACAGGAAGAGGCAAGAACTGAGTGATTCGGAATCTCCCAGTCCTGCTTTGGTAGGAATGACTGGACTCTCCCGGCCACTCGGCTTTCTAGTGGGACAAGCCACAAAGGCTTAGAGACAGCCAGTCTTCCTCTAGCACCCCATTCGAACCCACCTCTACAGCTGCGGGTGCTGAGTGGGTGCGGTCGGGCGGGGGGAGGGGGCAGTGAGATTAGGGTGGGATGGGACTAGGGTAAGGCAGAGCTGTTCCTTTTTCTCGGTAAGATTAAATAGTGGTCTGCGCCGGTGCAGCGTCCTTCGGGGTGGATTCCGTTATGGTACAAAGCATTGACATAAATAGTCGGGGCGGGCGGGCGGGCGAATAGACGGTCAGGTGGAGTGGAGATGAGGCGCTTTAGATTTGCTGACCACCTTCTTCTCTTTCACACGCCGGTTCTGGAACCAGATGGTGACCTGGCGCTCCGAGAGGTTCGTGGTGGCTGAGATGCGCCGGCGCTTCTCTTTGGTGATGAATTTGCTGGCTGCGTACTCCTTCTCTAGCTCCTTCAGCTGCACCTTGGTGTAGGGCACGCGCTTCTTGCGCCCGCGCCGGTAGCTGCTTACTTCGGGCTGTAGAGGAACCACGTCTAGAGGGAGAGAGAAGTTGTGTGGGAGCAAGTGAGGTGGGCAGCTAAGGGCTACAGGGATTCAAGGCGGCCCGCAGTTCCCGCAGGGTCTGCTTGATGAGGTGCCCTAATTCTAAATACTCCCGCTGTTAGTAAGGCCACAGAGAAGGTGAGGCCACTGGGGTACCAGGCTCCTTTTGGGTACAAACTTTAAGGGAAGGAGCTCAAAAAACTCAGTAATCAAGATAATATTTTAAGGCATTTGTTTTTTTTAATCAAAACAATGCAAAAAATCCATAATATAATAATGATAAAATATCATTAAAAACTAAACAGAGAATCTGTATTATTGATTTTTTTCCCTTTCGCCTCGGTCTCTACTATGGCTCTGCACAACACTCTTTATTAGAAACCTTGGACGCTCCAAGTCCTCCTCCTGCTTGCTGGAGTGCCGGTATTTAGAAAAACTCCTTCATTCTGCAGTTAGCACAACAGGGTTCCTACACCCTATAATCTCTCCTTTGTCAGGGGAAGGACCTACATTGTAAGATTAAGGAGTTCATAGCATAGCAGAGTGTCAGCTACAGGGGCACAGACCCTCAAGTGGGTCCTTTGGCCTGAAGGTGCCCAGGCACATGAATGAGTCTAGCCTTGCACTATGGATTTGATTCGCCAACATAGAGAAAAAACTATCAGATGAAGCCAGACTGCTTGGGGGATCAGTCACTTACAAAAAGGGCTCCAGTGTTGTGAATCATCTACCACCACCCAAGGAGGAATATCCTGGCTCAATATAAGGAAATCAGATTCCCATAAGAGGAGGCCCATACCTAGGTTCCACCAAAAGGAAAATATTCTGTTCTAACTTTTCTATTTCTGTTCTTCCAAAGCTGAAAGAAATCTTCTACACTCTAGCTACCCTAAGCTCTACTCTTGCAATTTCAGCCACCACTTGTTCAGTTTCTTCAGGTTTAGAGCATTTCACAGGAATTCAAAATAGTATGGCATTCCCCACCTGCACTCTTGGCAGTGAAAGGCCATAGTGCCAGGGTGAGGGAGATTATGTGAATAGCTCAGCCTTCATTGTTTTCTATGTCATCGCTGGACTTCAGATAGACTCTAATAAGGACTGAGTGTCTGAGTTCTCTTCTTCATTCTTATGTTTCCTTGGAAGTATTAGACATGGCCCCAGCATGAACGCAGAGAACCTGCTGAAGTGTTTCTTTACACCCTACCCTATAAGCATCTTCCCTACACTGCCATTCCTAGTGAGCCTGGCAGCGCCTGCCCCTGCCCCCTCCCCCAGACCCATGGCCCACTAATCAGGAAGGGGGTTCGAGAGGGGATCACAATAGACTGCAGATAGAAATAAAGTACCCAGGAAAGAAAATGGAAAGGGGTTCCAGTGGCCGCCTCAGGCTGCCTTCATGGTGACAGTTTCTCAGGAAAATTATCTATCCAACTTGTCACTGCTTCTCTGCATCCAAGGTTTTTTAATCCGGGTGTGTGTGTGTGTGTGTGTGTGTGTGTGTGTGTGTGTGTAACCCAGCAACTTCAGTTTAGTAGATATGATATGTCAAGTTAAAAAGTTGGTTTTTTTTTTTCTGTCCAAGACAAAGTTTGAAATAACTCATCTTCAACTTGTCTTACTCTTATAGACGGAACTATATTTAAGAAATAGGTGATTCTGGGGACAAGAATAAAAATGAAGCGAATAAGCAATGATATCGTGAGCGCCTCCCTTCCCCCAGAACATTTCTTCAGTTGTATTTTATTAAACACATTCTACAAGATTAGAAATCAGAGGCTCATAGTAGGGAAGGGACTTAAAAGACAGAGCTGGAATCTAGACTCTGACTCTTCACATAAAGTCAGAATAAGGGTCAAATCAGAAATGGACCTCCTAATACATCCCTTTTGTTGAAGGGCAAAGTGAGGATATGGGCGCTTCAGCTTTTGAATGAACCAGTTAACAGTTCCTAATTTTTAAAAAACTTCACTTTTTTTTGTAGCTCACTAAACATAAACTCTAATTTCTAATGAAGTTTAATCAACACAACCCTAAAAATTCTGGTTAAAAGGTAGATAATTGCTCTAAACTGGTCATTTTTCCCCTCCCTCTATTGGATGTCAAGGGTTGACTCCACCAAGGTTTTTTAGGTTGGGTTTTTTTGTTGTTTTGGTTTTTGTTTTTTTTTGACCTCCTGGATAAATAGCTCCTGTCTTTCCTTCTCAAAGGAGTACCTTCCATTGTCTGCTGTTTTGGCTAGAAAGAAAGTGGGCTTCACAGATGTAAAAGCAGCTGGTAGCTTAGACTTTGAGCAGCATCTACCCTGTCTAGGGTGTGGACTTAGCTATTAGTATCTCAATGTTCCCTTCCCTGGTGTTCCCTCAGATCACCTACACTAACCGATTTGTACCTGGGAATCTAATCAGTATCTATGAGAAGCAAATAAGAATGAAAAGGATCTCCTGCCAGTCTTTGTTTTGGGGTAGAGGCTTCTGTTCAGGGAGCTCCAAAGGCTGTCCACTTAATTAGTAGACTCTGGGATTTAAGGACTATCCTGTTCAGCTAGTGGCTCTTTTCCAATCCAAATTCAAAGACTGTCAATATAGACTTTTAGTTATGAGCTCCAAAAACCCACTGTTTCTGTTTGTTTTGTTTTATTCTATCGTCTATCTGTTTATCTATCTACCTACCTCGGAACTCTCTTCTTTTTCCTCCCTCCTCTCCTTGGATTTCTGCCCTTCTTGATGAAAAAAAGAAAAGAAAGACGTCTATACTCACCACAGTGTGTGTGTGTGTGTGTGAGAGAGAGAGAGAGAGAGAGAGAGAGAGACTGACTGTGAAGCAGGGGTCTGTATAATTGGGAGAAAGAAGCCACAACTCCTCACAGGTCTAATTATCTAGATCTTTCTGAACAATTGCCTCCATCTCCCACACCAGCCCAGACTATCATAGGTGAGGTTTCTCAGAGCCAGAGGCAGTGAAGAGAGACAGTGGTGTTTATGGCTAGATGTTGCCGTACAAACCACAATTGCATAGACAGAGTTATCTGAAAAATCTCACTACTTCTAAAAGACCTGTGTGGGTAGAAAGATGTAGGGTGTCTGAAGATAATTTCTTTTTCATCTGCCTCCCTCCTGGACCTCTTCAGGCACTGAGATACACCAGCCGGAATCTATTTCTACATGGGGAGTATGAGCTCAGAGCAGTAGAGGCACACTGGGTTTTATATCCACTTCCCTGTTGTAATTTGCAAGTGTATTAAATCTCAATTGGGTTGTATGGTGTTTTTTTTATTATTTCAAAGATATCTTTCTCTAGGAGGCTGTGATATAAAAGTGTTTATTTTTAGCAGAGTGTTTTTCTGTGTTGTTCTTGTTTCTGGGAATCTTTAAGATGTTTATTTACTCAAAGATAATTCTGAGCTTCCCTCCAACCATACGACCCACATGTCTACACAGGAAAGTCATGGCAGCTCTGTAAGGCACACTCTTCATTCCAAAGACATTGCTTTTTGCTCTAGGCCTGAGTTCTTACCTACAGTGAGCAGGGTGGGCACCAGATCCCAATCCACTGGCCCTCTTTCAGTGATCCATTAATTCCACTACCACAAGGATTCCTGCTGGACCTTCATTCAAGAAGCTTTCTGTTTCATGAGCTAGAGAAATGAAGGGCAGCCTATCTTCTATAACTGTATTATAGAATGCCTACATATGAACAGCCTATCTTATAGAAATCTATCAGTCTGTACTTCACATGAATAAATGTTTATTGTATAAAAAAATCTTATGGTCAATGCAGAGAAGGTGGTGTATAATACCATTTTACCACAACCATGTCCTCAGTTCTGGCAGGGAGAAACGGGGTGCCTTATGTGGGTTTAGCTCTGGTACTGACTTGTGTTATATCCAGTGACCTTGTGCTGTTTATCAGATTTTTTTTTTTGCTACATTCTGTAATATAATGCAGTGATTCTTCTCCATCTACCTCTCCACCCAATCCTGGATACATAAGAATTTCAGGCCCACTTTAAAGAGGTCTTTGGGTTGATCCTTTCCAATGAAAAATCCCCAGGCCTGGCATTCGAGGCTAGGGGGCTCCTTCTGGGCATAGTGGGAAGCTATCTTAGGCTTCTCTGGACTCCCAAGGATCTTTGGAACCATCAGAAGAGAGGACTGTCTTCCACTGAGCTCTGAACAGGGAGAGTAGACCCAAATGCTGACTTCCTTAGAACCTCAAATCCTTACTTCTTAGATCAGAGTGGAACCCAAAGCTTCTGATGTAGTTTTGGGAAATCTAGGATGGTCTTTCTCCTCTGGGGAGTGAGGGGGTGTATGGAATCCTTTCCTATTCAGAGACAGCCACAGAGGAACAACACAAGAGTGTTCTTTTCTTGCATACACAGCCAGACGAGAGTGGTCTGGACCCCAGACCACACCACAGGCCTGCCTCTCCCACCTCTCATTTTAGAAACCCCTTTATCTGTCTGGAAGGCTAGTAACTAACTCTCATTTGGAGGACTTGGCAGTTGATTCACAGGATTAAAACTGTGTGCCAGAGCAGCAAAGAATAATTTACATTCCAGAAGAGGATTCAAATCTTACACATTCTCTCTACAGAGATTTTTAGCTCTTCTGTTCTCTTATAAAGCATCCTTGATCAATTTTTAAAAGAAAAATATTGCACATCTCTATAGGCTCTGGCGAATTAGATCCCTATTTAATGCTATAGTATCTGGTGGCTGACAGATCCTGAACACTCAGGCAAGGTAAAGGTTCTTATCCTTTCCCCAAACCCCAACTATCTACTAGGTTGAGGGTTTTGGACTAAGTTTCAAGGCACCAGCGGCCCAACCCCAACCCATTCCTGGCTGGAAGCGGATTTAGGGGCCAGGATCCCTGCGTGAGGCTGGAGCGGGCTGGGGGAGGAGGAGGCGAGCTCCAGACCGGAGCCGAGCCGAGCCGGCGCTCGGGCGCCTCTGATTGCTTCACTCTGGACCCGGCAGCTCCGGGGAACGTGTCGGAGCAGATTTCTTCCCCAGCGCATTCCTCAGCACAGCTCGCCCGGCCGGCTCCATCCACAGCCTAGCCGAGCCGGCGCGCCGGGGCCAGACGGCGGGGGTGGCTGAGGCGCGGAGCCGCGGGGCAAGCAGGGCGGGGAGGGGTCCCTGGCGGCGGCGGCGGCGGTGCCGCCGCTCAAGCCCCTTCCTTACCTGGGAAGGGAGACTTCCAGAGGTGGGCGGACTGTGACTGCTCCTTGGAGCAGTACACCTGACTGTCCCAGCCATTGGAAAGAGCCCAGTGCTGGTAGCCTTCAACAGGGATGAGCGCGTCGTGACGCGGCTCCGGGTGCCCGCTGATCCCGGGCACCACAGACACGTCCAGGTAGCCGGGCATTGCCTGGTAGGAGCTGGCGAAGCTGGGGTAGAAGGCGAACTCCTTAGCCCTGGAGGACAGGTCGTCACCAGGCAGGGCGCCCGACGGCTCCGGGTACTTGTCTCCCGGATGGTAGGCGCAAGGCTTCTGCTGCAGGTTCACGTTGTGCGACAGGCGGCAGCCGTAGTAGCTGCCCCCAAATGGGTAACCGTAGCCCAGGGTGGCGCTGGACGAGGTGGGGGGCGCCGGCGGTGGGGCGCATTGGCGCGCCGCCTCCGGGGCTGGGATGTCCGTGTAGACGGCGCCCTGAGGGGCACCCAGAGGAGCCGGCGGGCGGGCCAACACGGGGTGCGGGAGCAGGTCGCGGCAGTGGCTGGCCGGGCAGCTGCCGCCCAGCCCGTCCATGCTCGGGGCTTTGCCGGGGCTCGCTCCGCTGCAGCCGCCCCCCGCGCCGCCCGCGCCGCCGCCTCCCCCGCCGCCGCCGCTGCCGCTCTCCGCCGCGCTGTCCTCATAGACGTACATAAGGCTCTCCGGCCAGCGCGGGTGCAGGAGCAGCGAAGTCGTCATGACATGATCTGCTCCAGCTTTTTAAAAACTCCACTTGCCAGAGGCAGCGAGCTAGGGAGACACCTCGCTCCCTTTTTCCCTCCCCCATCCCTCCTCCCTTCTCTCTCCACCCCTCCCCTCCTCCTCCCCTCGGTGCTTCCCCCTCCCTAGCCGCATTTCCACTACGCATGCGGACACACTTCATTAAGAAATCCGGCGGCTCCCGCCCTCCTCTCCACAGCACGCCCCTGGTTCCCACGTGACCACAGCCGCTGCACGTGATGCTAGGCCTGGGTCTCCTGGGGTTCCCTCCCCGGGAGATGGGGCGGGGCGGAAAGAAATGAGGACTTTGTTGATTGGCTCTTTGGAAAGGAAAAGGAGGAGAGAGTTGGGAGATTTAAAGGGACGGGGCAACGCCCCCTAGGCAAGCCTCGTTAGGGGAGGGGGGCAGAGAGGCTTAATTTGGCCGACGCAAAGGGACCTAGGGAGAAGAGGATGGCTCCTCCTCCTAGGCTCTGGACTGAGAGACGTGTCTGAGAGGCTCCGGTTCTCAAGCAGATGGCTTTGACTACCGAAATCTCTAAATTGGGGCTTGGGACTAAGAATGGAGGCAAACCTGGAGTTTTAGTAATAATAGAAATAATAATAGTAGTAGTAATAATAATAAAAAATCTAGCCAGGAAGGCTCCAGCTGTGGCAGGCTGCGCTTCAGCTCACGGTGGGCAAGCGCCTCTCAGTCAGCGTTTGATGCAGAAACCAGAATCTCAAACTCCGACCTCAGCGACTTTCCCCAAAGCTCCAGTTTGTCTGGAAAAGGGCGCTCTCTCCTATCAGACATAATTGGGAGATAGGATTTCCCAAATGCACACTTCATCCCGATGTGGGGAGAGAAATGATGAAATATGCTCAGCGAGAAGCAGAGGATAATGGAGGAAGCAGAAGGACAGATTGCCATTTCAGCATACAAAAGGAATACCGGAGAGTTCCCCCCACTACCAAAGAAACACAAGCTGATTCTAACTGAGCAAAAGGAAAGCTCTTGCAAAGGGATGCTTGCAAGAGTCTCTTTGGGTGCACACAAGGAAATGTAGAAAGCGGAGAAGAGCCTGCTGCCCTTTAAAGGGACTTCTGACAGGTGCAACTCTTGAGCATCTCAAATGTACAAGTACAAGGCCCTCCACCCTCAATGGCTTTGACTCACGGGGTGATGAGCGATAAGGAGCCAGACAGCGCTTAAGTTTAAGCTGCCTATTTTCCTTCCCACCGTTTCCTTTCAGGATCACTCTTGTTCAGGCAGAGTACTTAGATCCCAAACTGTCTTCAATTTCAAGAACAAATTAGCACCAAGTTACTGATTTTTATAACACTTTCTGCCCCCCACTGGTTAAGGCCTCAGTAGAGTCACCCCTTTGCAGAGGGGCATCTCCATGGAATTGTGCCAAGCTCCCTTTCACACATACCCCTCCCTGAGGAGAAGAGGTAATAAAGAGCCAGAGAGCAGGAAAAAAATAATAAAGAGGGAGAGAGAGGGGCTGCGGTGTCTCCCTCCTTCTTGCCTCTGCCACAAGTTCTAAATGCTGGGTGCTGGGTGCTGATATTCACACAGGCTGTTAACCATGAACACCCATCAGGACCAATCCTAGACCCTTTAATTGGAGGCAAATGTTGGAGCCTGCTTCAAGAACCCTGAAGGAGGAAGGTGGTCCCTGATGGTTGAGAGCCCCAGGCCTTGGTGAGTCAGGACAAGAAATGGAATTTTTATCAGTGTGGTCTTCATCCAGAAGTGTTTCCTCGGAGTTCTGAAAGCAGGCTGCATACCGGGATGGCAAAGAAGAAAACTACAAAAGAAAGAAGCTTGAAACCCAGGCAGGCCAGCTTATCAATGTTTGGGGAAAATGAAGGTTCATCAGGGAGAGTAAGCTGAGGGGACTCTCTGGTCTGGGAGACTGGCTACCCTGCTGCTGGAGTCCAAGGTCAAGGTAAAAAAAACAAAACCCAAAAAAACAAGGAGAATAAACAAAGTCTGGCCAAGTCTAGACTGGGTCCTGTGAACTTGGCCCCCTTGCCTAAGGGTGGCTAGGAGGGCTGTGGGTTTTCTTAGTAGTGGGTAGTAGAGATTGTTCCTCCTCCTGTGAAGTCCTGTGCCCCCATTGAGAACGGGGGAAGTAGGCCAAGCTGTGGGGCCGCTAGGAGAAACAAAGGGCCTGCGAGAGCCTTTCCCGTCCCAGTGGCTCCCTTCCTAGTGAGGCCTAAATACCAGGCGCGGTCTGATACTCAAAGGCACTTCCCCCAGCCCTTGAGAGTAGAGGCCAGAACTGTGAGAAGGATGGATCTAGGTGTAGGGAGGCCTGCCAATAAATAAAATTAATGCTATATTCTTTTCCAGGTTTATATAAGGGCATTAACTATTACTATTGCAATGAGATATAGATTTAATTAACCCGGCAACTTTACAATTCCATTTATTAGAGGCAGTATTCTGCCAAAATTTAGCGGGAAGGAGATAGTGGGAAACAAAGTCTCTTTCTTGCAAAGAATCAGCTAAAGATGCAAGGGCTCCAAAGCAATGCGGGGTCCTAGGAGGCCATAAGGGGAAAGCCCGGGTTAAGGACGCTGAAGAGGGAAATCTTCACACTCCCTTGAGCTTGATTCCCAAAGACCTTCCGTGCCTGCTCTCTTCTGCCCACAGGGATCACAGAAGGAGGCATGCAAAGAAGAACCTGTGTGCGGATCGGATCGTGGAAACTAAAACCCTGCTGGTTAATTAACTTTAAGCGTGGGGTCGCTTTTCTTAGTACCCTGAAAAAAAAATTGTGCATCTCGCTGAGACACAAGTAAAATCAAATTAAACACTCCAGGAGAATACGCATCACTGGAAACGTAGTAATTACATCTCATTTCGGAGGCGATTTGAGCCCTAGAAGCCCGGCCCTGTAACCTCAGGTTGAAAGGCTCACCCCGCACCATTTTGCCACATCTCGATCTCCCCACTTCAAGGATGGTGTGGTGGGGAACGGCCCAGGATGGAGTTTAGAGAAAAACAAACAAAACCAAACAACTCAGAAGTGAAGCTGCTGTTATAGGAGAAAAGATGAATAATTTAAGTGTACTGAAGGAAAATGAGAAAGGGTCCTCTTCCTCACCGGGAAACCCAGCTGATTCCAGGATGCTTTTTCAAAGAGAGAACTGTGTGAACAACCATTCTGCCCTCAGCGTCCTCCAGTGAATCAACTTTTCAGCTAAGTTATCCCAGCTTATAAAGGATATACTTAATGTGCCTTTTCATTTGAAGTGTGTGTGTGTGTGTGTGTGTGTGTGTGTGTGTGTGTGTGACACACAGGCAGCCTATTTGTGGGTTTAGGGATGTGGGCAGATATGTATTGCACTGTTTGCATGCATCTCTGTAGGCACAGGCTAAATGTGTTCATGAAGACACAAGCTCTTTGTGTAAATTCTCTGTCTACAAATAAAGGTCAGAGTTTGTCTGCTTATTTATTTGTGTACACACTCAGTTCACATGCTTGTCCCAGTCTACTTACAAAAACATCACCAAAGAAAATACCAGGGAAGCAGAAGTTCAGGTGCTCTGTGCCTTTCTGAGGCTAGGGTGGTATGGGGAGTAAAATTTCTGACCACTGTATCAAAGACAAAGTCAGAGGAGTGACCTCACAGCATTTGTAGCAGGAGGGAGCAAGTATGACCTACAGTGAGTGCTGGACGTGGCTCAAATTCTAGGGCAGGGGCTTGGGTGAGAGAAATAAAGTTGTGCTTTATTCAATGCTGAGATTTCTTCCTCTGAAAATTAAGCATAGGACGATTTTCCAATTTGCCTCCCTTTTCTGGTTCCTCCATACTGGTAAGGGGGTATGCTTGAAACTCTAGAGTTTCTCTCACCCCCATCCCTTTTATTGGGAGGGAAAAAAAATCCAGTTTTAAAAAAGGAGGGGGTTGGTTGAGTCTGTAGGAGAACAAAGAGCCTCACCACCATGGGATTTGGATTCTGGCCCAGATTTGGGACATTATAAGGCTCATATAGAGTGTTGGAGGTGTTTTTCCTGTCCTAGGTTCTGGCTGCAGGACAGAAGAGATTTGTGAAGGATAGAAAATATAGGATCTGAGCTTTCCAGGCAAGAAAGGAATGTTTAAGATTAAGGAAGGGGCTGGGGATCAGAAAAGGGGCATCCCGTGAATGTGTGTTTGAAATGGGAGATCCATACATTTGGGAAGAAATTTCTAGTAGGCTGCAAAGGGCAATACTGTCAGGGAAAGAAAGAAAAGTAGCTAAACTTGGTGCTCTTATGCTATCTCTGTTCCCTCTGTTTTTCCTTCTGCAAGATTGGGGTAACTGAAGATTGTAACCACACGTATGCTGTATTCCAGACCCTGGATCCCTCTGGAACCTGCTCTTCTCTTATCTCTCCACACTCAGAGCCTGGTGTCAGAGAAGGGCCACTGGGCGTTTTCTCCCAGCCTAGGAACTTACCTCCTGGACAGCAGCTGCCTTCTTGGCATTTTACATTTTATTCTTGTAACCTCCCTTGGCTCCCAGTTTGAGGGGAGATGAGACCAGGGTAGCTGAGGCTTCACTTTGCTCTTTGTTTCAGAATTTTACACTCTTCAACTCAAACTTGTCTTCATGTAAGACCTTTTTAAATGGCAAGAAGATCTACTTCTCTCTGTTGCCTAACTAGGACTTGCTGCACTGGCCCAGGCTTGAGGCCATCCCAAACCTTCTCTGATTCAGTGGAAATCCATGCAGTGGTGCAGGTGTAGGCTAACTCCATCCTTTTTCTGAATTCCCATTCATCCTGTCTTCAACTGCAGACTTTACCTATGGAACTAAGCAGGATCAGAGAAAGCCAGGTGACCCCTTGCAAAGTGAACTGCCAAGAAGCCGCCTTCAGTGCATCTCTCATACATCTATCTCTCTTTCTTCCTCAATTTGAAAAACTCCTAACTCCAACAAGCTCAGCAGAGAGCTTCAATCCACTTCATCTTTTCTTTTCCCACACTTTCCTAATCCTTACCCTGCACTCTTCCTTTTCTTTCAGCAGCAGGCAGCATCTCAGTCTGGCACT